TTAATCTCCTTATGAAAAACAAAGAGACAACCTTGTTTATTTTTTTTATGAATCTCCATATTCTTCATTTGCTTTCAAGTCCCGTAGTGACTGTAATTCATGTAAATTACATTGATATCAATATATTATTGTTAAAAATAAAAGCAATATATAATACGTTATTGTATAAATTATGAAATACATGTAGGATTCAGTCTTCATAAAATTATTTTGTATACATATTTTGAATTTTGAACGGAAGACAAAGAGTTGAAAATACATTATTTCACTATGCTCTTAAAAAAACAATACCGAGATTGTTTATACTTGTGTTTGAAAATACAAATCATTAAATATCCTGAATCTTTTGCATAAAAAATAAATAAAAGGATGACAAAATTTGAAGTGGGGGCATTTTTTAACATATAATTTGTGTATTAAAGATTACAGGGTTTGATTTCTTTTTTCTTGTTTGATTGTCCCTCTTATTGTGCATCATGATACAATGTCATTACAGTGATGAAAGTCTGATTGTGTAATTTTTTTCCTACGGTGTTAATAATCTTTGTTTCAGTCTCCTTTTTCTGGCCCAATATTGTTAACTGTGTATTTCGTCTCGTTTTGCAGAGGATTGTCTTATGACAGTTTTGTGTGTGTGTGTGTATTAAGTCTTAAGTGTCAATCGTGAAATTGAATGCAAACTAAGAATAATTTATCTTATATAAACACCTTCCGTCATACGTAGCAGAGTAAAGGTTACAAATGGAAATATCGGCGATTTTTTAAAAATAAAAATACATACTTTATTAGGATGGGTGATTCTTTTAAAGAAACAGACCAACTTATCTGCTATCCAGTTTTCTGTGCAGTTTTGCGTCATGCTGTATATGCATCTGATAAAATAATACTCATTTCAGAAGTCTCACGCTATTGGAAACAAATGTGACTTTTGTTTCTCATAATTGTACATGGGTTGACCCAAAAGTAATGTCACAACTGTGATAAAATAATGGATAATCAAATGTCATAAATAAAATTTGATTTACTAAAATCCATGTATATTTTGATCTTTGTCATTAAAAAATATCCTATTGAATTACGACAGACAATGATGCTTTTTAAAATCTGATTTGCTGTATTGCATATATGAATGCAGTTTAAGAATTCAAAGTGTATAGAGGTGTAAATGTTTTAAGTTATTTTGAATTCATTACACAGCTTTTTGTTAGACCACCTTTATTATATATTTTTGTATTTCCTCAAAGCGAAAGAGACCCATTGACTACCTATACATTTTGTACTTCTTAAACAGAGGACGGACTATGCGCTTGGAAACAAATAAATATTTTTCTTCTCTATGTGGAATTAAAAAAAAACCTAAACATAAGTATAATAAGGAAATCGTTTTTCTTTCTTTCTAGGAAATGTTTAAGTTTATATATTAAATCAAATACCCATGATGTGCCAGACGATAGCTCCCAGGAAACTTTAAACCGCCGTGATGTCATCAGATTTGTTTACTCCTTATGCAAAAACTTTTTGTTATTTAATTTATTGTAAATGTATAAGTTTTTTTCTGAAGAGTATGTGGCTATTGTTGAAATTTGTTTTTTGATGGAATATGTATATTTTTCATTTATCGAGAAGCTAAATTTGAAGCTGGAGAGTATGAGGCAGTGTCATATTAAACTTTATTTAAAATGATTCATTTTTTCATCACATAATTTACTTTCTGCCATATTTGTAAAAAGTCTCCATTCATAAATTCTATCAAAAAATCTCATTGGCCAGTAAATTTGTATCCCCTTGTTTTACCTTCTTTTCTGTCATATGTACTGAGGCAAAGACCCATTCCGTTCAGTGCGGGAAATTTTGCTCTTTCTTATTACCAGATGCCCGGTGTTATCACTGGAAAGGTAAATTTTCTTATTCTATTAAAGAAGAAGGTTTAGGCTTTTATTTTGCCCTAAAAATTTTATTTTATTGAAAAGTTATGAATTGGCTTTTAAAAGAGTTGCGTAGATGAATATGATGAATCATTAAAGAATATGACTTATAGTAGGACCATTCTGGAAATATGACATCATTAAGTTGGTATATTTTTAAGTAGTAAAATAGTATCTGCATGCGTTGCCCACTTCAGTTTTTGGATATTTTATGTAAACTGCTTTGAAAAATGTCATATCTCAAAATCTTTGTGGGCGTTTAAAAAAATACGGGAAAATGCACAAGTTAATGACGTCACAATTAACATTTAGTAGGTCAAATGAGAAAAATAATATGTATATTCGTAGTGCATGGAATTCCTATGATTCAGAAAGAATCAATTTTGAATTTCTTATATCACTTTCATATTTTAGAAAAATACAGGGTTAAATTCATATTGAAATTGTACCTTCTTCTTTTTGTAATTTAATTTAGTTACGAGGGGTGATCAAAAAGTTCGCAAACTATCTCTATATCTAGAAAACCACAATTCAGATTAGAATGAAATTCAGTACACACATAGCCATACACAACTCCTATAAATAGCATATGCTGAATAAAGTTTCTCTCCTTGTTTGTGACGTCACAATGTGAAAATGACGTCACTATTTAGGTCGCTTGTGACGAAAAATGGTTGTCTCAGTCGAACTCGTTCAACAAACGACTGTAAAATTTATTTTATATCTTAGAAATCCCTCTACAGTATCATATGATAATTTGTAGAACGTTTATTGAGATAAATTAGTTCCTATAAATTCAATAAATGATTGGATTAATCGTTTTAGTGAAGGAAGGCTGACGGTTAAAAATGATACTTGTCATCTTGCCCAGTGAAAGCAAGTTTGAGAAGATATGTTTTTTTTAATTAAGCAATTTGCAATCAATGACCTCCAATTAGCACTTTGAAAAATAGTTGAATATTTGAACAATGATATAAGTATTAAATACCTAAGATATCGTTTACTTTAGATTTTAAACATATGAGAAATGATAAAAAGGATGCACCCATTCTCTGTCCACCTTGAATAAAGGTCTCTCCTGAGACAGAAGATTTGTGTTTTAATAGTCGCCATGCTTATTTTTGGAAAGTATATTATTATCCACCAATCCTGTTGCCGAGATATGACCATTTCTGACAAATGAACTGTTCTTGTCATAAAATTTAACTCACATGGAAAGAAATATAAAACTCAGAAAAATCTTTCAATTTTTGTGACAGAACGCTACGAAGGGGGTCACGTCACCGCCAATATCTCGTGATTCGCGCATGCGCAGAAGGATGGTTGATGTGCCTTAAAATCGGGGAGGATTAATTTAAAATATTATCAACATTAAAACCAAATATTGTTTCTTGTATGTAAGTTATTCAATTAGTTTGCGAACTTTTTGATCACCCCTCGTATTAAGTTCATGTCATAAGCTAACGTTTTTTTTTTCATAATTTTGAAAGAAATATTTTATAAAACTATGAAAATAGAATTCTGGTTTTTGTAAAATTAAATATTCGTATTGTTTGGAGTGAATAGGAAATAAAACTGTTTTGTTTCAATGTCTATGTGTATTATGATATTATATATATATTTTTCAATTTTCTTAATCTATAAACTGAACCTGCGTTTTCCTTCTCCGCTTTGTAATGAAAGAAAAGCACACAACGGAGAAATACATCTTTTATTGTTTTAAATACTATAAAGTAGGAATGTACAATCAATTGAAAGATAGAATCATTCATTATTTTATTGTCTTAATGCAAATCTAACAAAAAATCAGTTTTTCTAATAATCAACGAATCAATAATTTATTGTCTTGTACACCTTAATCACTGATGTGTCTTAAATTCTTTTGATTCAGAATGTTAATAATATCTGAAGTTTAGTATAATTCATTTAATTTTTTTAAAGGAAATTTATGATGATTAAAAAACCTTATTAATATACTGAGAAATAAAGATTACTTATTTTACGCGAGTACTTAATTTCGCATATCACCCAAGAGAATCAAATCGAAGCCGATAATGATTTATTTAGAAATTTTACATATACAAATGAGAGATAAAAGTAAAAGCTACTTATTTTACCAAGCAATTAGTGCTTCTCTCGAAAGTATACAATAATTTATTCCTTTGCATACATGTATATTAAGGAATCTACAGATATAATTTACAGGTTTTAATGAAAGTCTTGTCTCTGCAATATGGAACCGATTATAAAAAATTCCAACTACGTTGATGTTTGTAGCTTGTATTTTCATGTATTTTAATATTTTTATGTAGTTTCAGTAATTATGAAAAGGATCCAAAATAATAATTAAACAGACATAATTTTAGGAATTATTAGTAATTCTAAGTACAAAAAGTGCAAAAAGATATAAAATACAAAAAAAAAAATTAAAATCAAAATAGGAAAGAAACTATATGAAGTGTCCTGTATTCTTGTGAAAGTCGCAATTATATTAATGGAGAAAAATTCATAGTAACAAAGTTTTCATATGAAATAGAAACACGATTCTAACAGGTAAGATAAACTTATATAAAGTTCAATTATGATAAGGATCATAAAGATCCTTTTTAGAGACCTAAACCTAATTTGAGAAATGATTTGATTTGGATACTCCCTTTAAAACAATTTATAAAAAGACATTCTTTCGATTTTTTTTTTTTTTTACAAAAAAGTATGTTGTGATTTGATACAGACATGTAACATGCTTTTCGAAAATATATTTGTATTTTCATAATGATTTTTATATGTTTCTGCTTTTATCTTAAAAAAAAAACAGGACTGACAAAAATTGAAAAATTATCTTTAATACCTATCACATGCTTTGCAGACACCAAGTCTTTTAGAGGGATCGATGAATCATGAATATGTTTTAACTCTAAATTTCATATTCATTGATACTTTTGAAGCCTTTTAATTGTTTCGGTTTTTATTCATTTAATATTTCAGTAGCTGCATGTAGATTTAAAATAAAGTAGAGAAAAAATTACTGTAAGTAATTAAATAGATAAAAAAATTATGTACTTATTTTAAGTGCACGTGAGTTTTGTGAATAAGATTCAGATAAAACTGAAAATTAACGATTCATCTCTCTTTAATTACCAGTTGAAAAATTTGTGATACATAAAATACTTTTTTTTTTACTTTTAAGAGGTCCATTTTTTAAATTTTTCTCTTAAGAGTTCAATGTTTCCACTTTCAAGCAAGTCTTCAATGTTCATGAGTTCTAACTCCTTGCTCTGAAGTTCTGACATCTTATTCTGAAATGATAGGAATAAACAAATATAGGGATAAATGAAAACAATAATGATCAACTTTGATTGTTTCTTTGATTTTCGTCATTTTAGAAACATATTCAAAATACCAAATATACAGGTATAAGCATAAAAGCATAAGAACCTCAAATAATTCTTTCAAATGATATTTCTTTCTTCTTATTTCTGTGCTTACTTCTTCAAAGTTCTCTTTTAGCTTACGGAAATTGTCCAAGGTCCAATTAATACTACGTGCACCTTCTGTAGATTTAAAAAAAAAATCATTTTAATCGTTCAAAAAAAAAAAAAAAAGAAAAAAAAAGAAAAAAGAAAAGAAAGAAAGAAAAAAACTCTAAAATACAATGAAATTGACAAACTCAAAGTCCTATCACATAGGATTTTATGACATTTGTCAGCTATCATCCCTAAGTATATTTGTGTTATTTAAGTACCTTGTCTTTTACAAATTATTTTTGTTCTTTTTCGATCTTTACCCTCCTCTCTCTCTCTCTCTCTCTCTCTCTCTCTCTCTCTCTCTCTCTCTCGCTCTCTGTCTGTTGTCAAATGTGTTTTCAAAAAAAGAAAGAATTGAAGAAAAACTATATTTTTTACTCTGTTAGGAAAAAACCTGAACAAATATACTGGGAAATTTGCATAAATCTTTTAAAAATATTTTATCACATCATCAATTATCGCCAATCCCCTTCCTCTGGTAATGCCCTTACTCCGTCATTTTTGAGAAACTCCAAGCGTTTTGTCCATGAATGGGATTATGCCAACATTTATTGCATGCTGAAAATCTACAATCAAGCTACTAAAAACAATCAACTTCAAAAAATGTCAAAAGCGAGTTGTATTGAATTATGTGTTTACAAATACATGTAGTACAAGCAATATTTCAGTGACAGAGACTCCGTGTTGGATGAGAACAATCTATAAAGCTTTGATTTAACTGTAAAAATCTGAACAAAAACTTTTAAAAAGTTGGAACGTCAAGGAAAGACATGGGCGCTTCAGAGTTGCATATCTTGTGAAAACAGAGTTAAGTAATAAGATAAATTAAGGCAAGGAAATTATGCATCGAGAACAATTTGTGAGAAAAGAATGTTTATGATTAATGAAAAGGGGTTTTCAATAAGTGGGTATTGGTTTATACTGTGTAAAATGTAGAGGGATAGTATTTTGTTTAGAAATTCTTGACGTTACATTGCCGTTTCATGTAAGTGTGCTCCGCGAGTTCAAAACATGTTGATATAAAATGAAGTAAACTGATTTCTGTTAAATCGAATGGTATTAAACTTCACACATCAACAAATTTTTTTCTACATATTATATTGTGCTTAGATTAAATTGCTAGTGAATAATATAACGAAGATTGATATCGTTCACGAACTTTTCGAACAACCCTCATATCTCCCTGAAGACGCGGCATTGGGCGACAGGGCCCCCTTTCAAAGAAATATCATGTTTTCTGGGTTATGAACGTGTAGACATGGTTATATCAACAACAGTATACAGAGCTATAAAAAATGACACCATTTATTCTACTTGAACGATAGCAAAGAATACTGAAATTTGGAGAAGGAAATAAGTACGAAGAATTTTTCACTTTGTTAAAAAAAAATCAAATGCCCTTTGGTGGTACACTCAGGTTTTAACGATTTGGGCGTTTTGTTTGAATCGGATGAATGTTTTGAAGTAGCAATTATTCCTGCCTTTTCTGCAAGTTATTGGTCCAAACTATGTCAATTATTTGGTCTCATAATGAATTTTATTCAAATGGAATAATTGGTTTTCATCGGCGATAAGTGGTTTTCTTTCACAATTATTTAGAAAACTCATTGGTCGTAATATCTTTAAAAATATACAATTCTATCATGTTGTTTTTGAAATACAAGTGATTCCTTTTTTTTTAAAGTGAACACTTTTTTGGTTAGTTTTGTTGTGTGTGTATATACGACCTTCGGTCCACGGGACACCTACTACTGACTATCTTAGCCACTGTTAACAGAATGATTACTAATCACGACGAACAATTTACTAGGTACACTCGTTAAACATGTAGGTATTTCTTTCAGTGTAAATCAAGTTTAGCATCTCAGGTACAATGTCCAATAAAAGGAAAGTAATTGTCGTTGAGCACTTTACAGTACATGTACTTCATGTGCGGATAAACTTTATAAATACAGATTGAAATTGAACAGCATTCAGGGCAAATGCTTTTCTTCCCTTGTTTAATATTAGTTTTTTATGATTGTAACATACCTAACACAACATCCCCTGTAGCTTTGTCCGTAGCTTCTACATAAGATGTCACAGCATCCCTTTTACGCAGTGTCATTGATCTACATTGTAAAACGCAATACAAATTAAGTATTTATTATCAGTAACATTTTCGACACGTTTAAAAGAACAAAACATATAGAGTAAATGTATTATAGCGAGCGCAGCGAGCGTCGCGAAGCGACGCTCGTCACTGCGAGCTCTTAAAGCAACGCCTGTGCGAAGAGAAAATTCGGACTACTGCACATTCATTCGATAGAATTTTTTGATGCCGTAATTTTGACCCACAATGCATCACTTGTTTAAGTTACGTTAAAGCTACGTTCTCGTGAGAATAGTAGCAAAAGTACTAAAAGTAAACATGCCCTGATTTAATGGAGAAATATTGAAGATAAATAGCAAACGAAACATTCTTCATTTATTTTCAGCACTGTTCAGGGTTCTTTTGGGGAAATGTAACTTACATTCGACGTCATGTGACGTCAGAGTCTAGACACCTCAAATGTCACGTGCAGTTTGATTTACGAGCCCAATTTAAATTCTAATTAAATAAACATCTGCGCTCGCCATAACGGTCGCACCGTCAACATATTATTTGGTGTGTAAGATATTTTGCGGAAACCGACTTTTGAACAAGTTAGTGTAGATTTGATTTGGCGCATGTCTTAATGTTCTTATTTATGAGCGTATTGCAAGACATTTAGCGTTGTACTTGAATTAGCGGGAGTTTATTTCCACCAAAGGCGCTAAAAATAATACACAGCCAAATATAATACGTTTACAGTACACTGCAGTACACTGAAACTACTTTTCTATATCTTTTCAAACCTCAACAAAAGTTAAGAATCCAGTGTTAAACAATAGAATTTTTTCTGTTCGTTAGTCTTGAAAAATTGCAGCTAAATTAAAGCTTTCCTGAACCTATGGGTGTTCAAAACACTCGTTGCACAGTGCGTTTAAGAAGTTGATCCTTACGTCGAGGGTTCGAAAGCAACTCTTTGGCGTAGTTTTTCGGATATAAAGAAACTGAGGTCCCGTGTCTCAGAAGGTGTTAGCACAAAAAAGATCCCTTACTTCTCAGTGGCCGTAAGAGCCATGTACATGACAGAATTTGCAACTCTTCACCGGCAAGTGAAGACGTCTTCATATGAGTGAAAGAGTCTCGAGAGGGACGTTAAACAACGTACAATCAATCAATCAATCGTTGCCCAATCTTTTTTGAATTTGATTTTCATATTTTGAAGTCATGTCCATGGAACAATGAAACATTTCACATAAACAGTTCTCTTGGCAATATTATCAAAAGTACATGTATATATGTAGCATGTTAAAAATCAGAGGTATTTGTTCCTAAATCCTTGAAAATTTAAATCATGATTTAAAAATCAAAAAATATGTTGTAATAATAATACATGTATGATAAATTATTATTAATATCATGATTTGAATTAAAAGAAATCCAACACATATTTTTCTAAGACGGAATCAGTCTTAAAACAAACAATGTTTACATAATTTCACAAAACATCCCACATGAATTCCATTACTTGGCTGCAGCAGATTCTTTTAATATTATATCACATATTTAATTCTCTTACTCTTATAAGGGTACATGAATGAAATAGTTTTCAAGTGTATTTTTCCCGAAAGCATTTTCAATGAGCTTATTACAAAAATCAATGAAAGGTTATGACGCTATGATTTTTTTTTTAATATTCTGGCCCTGTGATCATAGAGCATAAAGCCTGTAAAGTGTTTATGGATAGTCGACAAACTCTCTATATTTGAAGATCACATCACTTTTGTGATGCATTTTTACGTCATATTCTCATTCTGGAATATTTGACGTTGACAAAATTTCAACACCGGATAAAGTTTATAACTCAAGCTTAAGATTTTTCATGATCCCGGGCCTGGTATACGTATTTTATTTAAAAAGAAACTTTGAAGACAAATAAATTCTGCGAAAGCTTTCTAAATCACATATGCATGCAGATTAATTAAGTTATTTAGATAACGACACAATCCCCATCATGAAACCTAACGTTTTCAATGACATTCCAAACCTTCATCACCTGTATACGGGATTTATAATATCTCTCAGTTGATTCAATACGCAAGAGCAAGCTCTAATCGTATGTACAGTTTTTGAAACGAGATAAATTATTGATAAACAAAATAATGAAACAAGAATATCAGCAGTCTCAATTAAAGTCATCATTTCGTCAGTTCGATGGGCAATACAACCCCCTTGTCAGCAAATACAATGTATCATTTAGTCAAATGGTAACTGACGTTTTACATACTTATTGTTAATCCATAATATACACAAGGAATTGAGAACAGACTTTTCGTTTTTTCCCGAACATGACAAGGAGCACACGATGGGTGTGACCTTTTGGCAGGAGATGTTCACTCCCCTATGGCACCTGATCCCATTTTTGATGTATTGGAGTTCCGTCTTTGCTCTGCTCCTATTTTGTATTGATTAATGGACTTTTGTTCTTTTTCTCCATATATTACAAAAAGTCATGCGAGGACTGTGCCACAAAACTTGATCAATAATATCTTCTGTTTCACTAAGACTAAAAACTTGAGTTAAAAAATGGCATACTAACTTATCAACATTTTTTGAATAATGCATAAAAATTTCTATCAAATATCTCTATAAATAATATTTTTCTCCCAGGTGAACGAATCTAGCAAATCAGCTTTTGAAACACCACTGACGTCATACACTGCTCAACAAAATGCTGCTTGATATTTATAATTACCGCCCAACGTCAGCATATTTGACAATCTCTAACTTAAATTAAAAAGAAAATTTCAACAGCCTGGTTGAAAAATTAGGAAAATAAAAAAAAAATCGCCTTATTCAAGGATAATTTTCGTAGATTCTTAGGAAAGTGAATGTATAGAGTGCCTGAAAATACTATGGGAAGCCTTAATCTACCTTTGAGGTGAATATGCAGCAATCCTGATCTGTTTTATCCATCTGAAACAATAAAATTTAAAAAAAAAAATCAGAACTTTGTTGCATGTAACTTAAAACTTTGAAACCAATATTGATAAGATACAGATAAAATTCTTTTAAAAATATTTTTATATATAATTTGTCTCTTAGTTATCCTGCGACTGAACTTTGTTATTTGGATACTATTATTTGAGATGTTATTATTGAAATAAAATTGCATGTAGTGTCCATCTTTTAATTTTATATTGGAATTCGAACAAATTACACAACTAATTAATTGCTTAATATCATTTTTTTCTAGTGAATCTTAACAATTAAATAGATTTCTTTTATTTCAGCTTTAATAACCCTTTCATAGCACCACTTACTCATTTCTATCCTTTTCTTTTCCTGTTCCAAAAACAAGCGATGATCCAGAATTGAAGATTTTGAACGCACTATATATTGAAAAAAAAGTCATCAATTCAAAAATAGTTTCATATCATTAGTAGGTATCTCTATAAAGCATGTTATATTATTGTTTTCAACTCCTAATTAGAAAAAATAGCAAGATTGAAGAGGAAAAATCTGAATAAGTTGAGATTCATTACCGTACTGAAGTAACATGAGGAATCGTTATTTTTTCATTTCATTTGAAAGACCGCAGACGTAAGATTATACAAAATACAAAGTTGTTAGGCCGCGTTCGTGTATGCAGCATTGAAGACGCTAATACATCAAGCTTTACACTTAATGCTGTTCCAAAAAAGTTTTTCATAAAACTCCATTGTATCTTTGTAAGAATATAGAATTTAATAAATTTATTTTGAAAGACATTTGAGACATTTGATTTAAACAGCAGTCGGTTTCAAACAGAACTGACGATGTAGAGGATATTATGGTTCGGAATCCTGTGACTTGAAAACGAGGAAGATTTCTTTTAACCCAATTGAATTCCATAGATATTTCTGAGATTATGAAATACATTAATACGGTCTCTAGTCAAAGTTTTCGTATAACATAAAGGCTTAATTTGTTTTATGTCTCGGATCTTTTCTTATATCAACGTCGTTGTTAACAAACACTTGAGAGTTATTCCTCTTGCTACATACACCGGTATAAACGCTCATCACCGGTGTCATATCTTATGTATCTTTCTTATGACGTATTTCTGTCGTCTGATGTTTTGTTCCCACTATCAAAATTTGCAGGAAAGAACCTGGAATTTTAAGTCCGACAAAGTGAGCACTCTATCATAAAGTTAACAATATGACAATGAAGAAAATATCAGAGATAACAGAATGCAGTTTTTAAAGCGACAACAAAGACGTGGACGTTTAGAAAACATGGATCTCAGTTACAAACGCATTAGTGTAGTGAATCGGAAATTGTAAGTCTGTGAAAAACAAAATATTTCTTCATTTTTTTTTTCAAATTTGTTAATTCATTTGTTTATTGGGTAGTTTTAGTATGTGTATAAAAAAACACGAAAAATTGTCCATGCATATTTTGAAAATGCCCCCATTTGTACGATACGTACAATAAAGGCAAGGTAACAAAATATCATTCTAATTTTTCTAAATATGATACGTACAAGTATATTTCCAAGAATTATTTTTTTTATCATTCCGTTTCCGTAATTTTCAACTAGATTTGGCCTTTTTAAGGTCTTTTACTTATTTTTGGCAAACTTTTCAGTACTTGCAGAACAGCACAGATTAGCTCCAAGCATTTTTTGCGTAGAGGAAATAAACATTTTATAATGTTGATTTCCTTTCTTTCCCTCAAAACAAGGGTACGCTAATGCACTATACTCATTTCTTACATTCAGTTTATAATTAACAATTCTATTTTTATTCTGGTCAGGTGACAAACAACTGATTATTTGGGACTGTGTACGGACAAACCCTATCCATTATAGATTGCTTTTCTACAGATATTCGGTTCACATTAATATTTGTAACATTTTTAAAAAAAAAAAAAAAACATATTAAAACAATGTGCTTAGACCACATTTTCCATTTGGGTCCTTAGCATAGCTGAGTAGTCAAAAAAGGGTAGAGCCCAGAATTTCAACTTTCAATATCTCTTTACCTGTCAATAATTTCTTTAAAAAAATCTTGAACAAACAAAAGCAATGTTAAACTTTCATGTGATCTTAACAATAAAAATAAATAAATAAAAAAACAAGTAAGCCCATGGGTCACATCGCTCACCTGAGTAACTTTGGTGATGCAGTTCTTTACCAGATTTCCCTACCCCGGATTTTAACAATTTAGATTTTTTGCCCCTACCCCAAGAAAATATTTCGTCCATCGGATTCACTTCCGGTCCAACCAGGAGTAATCAGAAATGGCTTGAACAGGATTCCAAGTCACTGGGTATTGAAGGATTGAAGAGACTAGAGACACCTTTGATTTAACTTATAGTGACATCCCTTCCGGTTAAATAAGACGGAATATCTACTTGTTGCCTTGAAACGAGCTAGGTTCTAGGTTAGTTTCCTTTTTTTTCTTTTTTAAGAAATCAGCTTAATGAAAATATGTATAAACATTGAAATAAGTTAAGAAATTGTAGCCGGTGAAACAATAACGTTGATAAGAATCCATTCACTTCCGAGTAGTTTTGTGAAAACGACTTGAGAATTTATATTCTCCTATGAATTTATTTTTCTCTTCATAAATTCTATCCTTCGTCTATATATTTCATATTTATATAAATCAATTACATATAACTTCCAAGGGTTTTATCTAGGATCTTACTCAAGACATTAATTGACGGAGTTATTTGTTCTCCATACTTTTATTAGGAAATTATAAGATAGACACAATATAAATCCTTATTATCCTTGTCCTTCCTTAGTTTTATCTTTTGCTACACTTGTTTTTACACTTACAAGTACTTCAGCCTGACGTCTTGGATTGACAAAACTTCAAATACAGACAATGAAGGTGCTAATTTTGCTTGTGTATCCTAAAAATTAAACATTAAATTAATCATTCTCAACTATAATCAACTATGTAAAATTACTTGATATTAGTGTAATTATTAAAAACTAATTGTTTGCTTTACATTACCTCCTTCTTAATGTAAATGTACATTCCTCCATTCTTTATAACACACCAATATTTCTTCCATTGTCCGGATAGAAAGCCCTTTTTGTCATTCATTTTATAGAGCCATCCCTCGTATTCACCTTTACCAAGATCTTGGCAACTCACTCGATGATCTGTATAATTTAGTAAAGTTCAACGAAAAAGTTATAGAAATAGTAGATTATTTTATGTGTGCAAATTGTTGTGTTTACATTTTAATAGAAGAAACCTTCGTAGAAATTGGAATTTATACCAAGGAATGTAGAATCCTTCTTGGGTCTCATAATTGGTATCTGAAAATACAGAATACAACATAAAATCAACCCATGTAAAAAAAAAAACAATGAGGATTGTTATCAGAACAATTTTCCTAGAAATGATACTTACTTCTTCTTCTTCTTCTTCTTCTTCAAGGATCTCTGGGTTCACATGATTATCATCATTGCTTAAAAGATGTAGACAAGAGAATTAATTCCTAGTTCGTTTGTTACTTAAAAACACGTTTTAATTATAATAAGACACTATTACAATGACATTGCAAAAATAAGGTATTTTGCACTATATTATAATGCTTTTCTTACTCCCAAAGTCAAATAAAATTGAATTTTTGTTAAATGAATTTTATGCATCACGTAAGGAAATGGCAATATTAACTTTGACATCAAAGAAAAATAGAATAACCAGAAAATAAAAAAAAAATAAATATCGAATGAATTTAAGGCGAAAAAAATGACCCACTTTAAAATTGCCACTGATTTTATTATTCCTACATGTAAATGTTTTTAAACGTCATTGCACCTATCGACAATAAAAATGAATGGAGATAAAGAGGCGGACTTTTCACATTTAAAATGCATTAAAATTGGGTATATATGTAGTAGGATATTTCAATGATATTTAAGTCATGCGATAACATGCAGTTTCCTTATCATAAATTATGATTAAAGAATATCTATTTGTTAACATGTGTTTTCCATTAACTTTCATATAATGTAAAACCAGTGCGAGTTTTAAGTTATATTTTGATAATGTCATGGAGCACAGGGCGTTTCTCCATGTCACTTGATCCTGATGTTTAATGGGTTTTTTTCTGTTCCTGATTCGTTTTGTTTTAAAAGAATTTTGAGCTGTTCCTTATCTTCATACAGTGTAAATTTCATTGCATAATATAGAAAAATATTCGCACACTACGTAAATAATCAACGTACACTTATTCTTGCAAGTCAAGCAATTGCAATACTGTTAATATCTACATATACAATTTTAACAGGTCTTTAATACCTAAAACATAATTGGTAAGTTTCGAACCTTAAGGGGATGAAGGACCTTTAGCTGAAAAAATACCTGTCATTTAATTTTTTTCATATTTTGTATATATTTTATTTAGAATGTCCTACATACTATAAAGCAGACATATCAATAGGTTTCTAGACTTATTTCTGAGATATTGAGTGACAAATACCATACCCCACAGTGTCTGAGCGGAGTTTTTATTCTCCGTGTTTCTGGGTCCATTACTCGGTCGATAATTGAAATTTTTCATCATAGATAAAAAATATACCAGCGGAAATGTGTCTTTTAAAATATTTTAGAGTATGAATAGGGTTAAAAATTCGAAAAAGCAAGATTCTTTTGTAACACCACATCTGGAGACGGAAATTTACGACTTTTTTAGGACAACTTAAACCATAAAAAAATTAATTTGCAAAAAATCCTATCATTCAATATTTGAAAAGGACAAGTGCACTTAAGCAATACTTAATGGGCCCTTTTTATGTGCCATTTTACTTCAGAATTTATTACTAAATCTTTCTGCGTTGGTAATAGTTAGATACTAGTGGATAATTCTAATTAAAAAGCACGATAAGCAGCACCTAAATCAGCATGGATATGAAACAATTGAATATTTTTGAATGCCTTTGGACATCCTAAAAATCCGGAAAAGTCTTACTGAACCTTCTTTTAGTTTCGTTTATGTAAATCAAAGGGAATAGATATTTAAATCGATACTTGAACAATCTGATGGTGGATCATAGTCGGGCGCGTTTGCGGAATGATATGTCTTGCGCCAAACCTGTTTTTAAAAATATTGAATGAAGTTGTGTAGTTGCCTGTTGCTAAATTAAATGATTAAACTAAGAAATTGGTACTCTTGCATTTGAAAAATTACAATTATAATAGTTCCATTGAATTCGAAATTAAAAAGGAGTGTTATAGGTGGCTTTCAATACCTGTTTTATTGTCTTGCTTGAAGGTTAAAAATGTTTGACACTTTATAAACGACATTAAGCTCTCTTTACCCTCCCGTGTTCTAAAAAACAAATACACACAAACATCTCTAAGCGGCATGACTTTGACTTACTGAAACAACACCTGCCTATGATTTACTGTTTACAGTGAGCACTTTTGAGGAATGTTTACCTGGGTAGAACTCACTTGACTATCAGTATTTTAAATAATTTATTCTACTTGTGGGTTCAACATGGGTCATACAGGTAAATAGCTCTCACTTGCTATAGAAAAAACATTGTACTTTTTATACATTTTCAAAATTTTAAGTACGAGCCTAATCGTGTGCAAATTTCATACTTTCACACAAGTTTTATAAATGTATTATACGTCTTTTGTCATTCGCACAAGTTTGCACAACGTTAGGCTCATGGTTAACAAAAGCTCTAAAATGAGTGACTGTTCTCGATTTACTATAGAAAATCACAAATGTCGGCAGACCCCTACAACATTGTATACTTTTGTTCTTTGTATATTCGTGGATTTCAGCGGTAAAATTTGTTGAATCGTATGGTTTAGATATCAATTAATGATTTGAGATGAAAAATTTTGCTTAATTTGATTGTTTATTTTTTCACATTTTACCGGGGCCCATAAGTGCACTCGTTCTTTACGTCGAAGTTCAAGGTTGTCATTGTATTGATTAACTGTAAAAATATCGATTGGTGAAGCTGAGCTCAATATTGCACGGGGCAAAGTTAAACGAGTCATGATCATGAGAAAAACGTGTCATGTTTACATTTCTCGAGTACGGGAAAACCCAACTATGACGTCACACATTCCCGAAATAAGCGAAATAAGACAAAACCCACTAACCGTTTTTACCGTGTATGATCTTACTGAACTAAGAGATCCACTATGACTTCAAAGACGCACTGGACGCGCAGAGTAGGGAAACGGCAGAGTGGATTAATCTATTCCGTAATTTGATAATATTTGCAAGAAATTTTGAATGTTTTTAGATATTTTTATACTAGATGGTGAACGCAAACAAACAGTCAAAAAAATTATACAAGTACTGTGGTTTCAATCTCGTTTTGTACATATTTTATCAGAGATTATGACGTAAATCAACTGAGTCACGTGACCATACATCCTTCATCCCCTTAAGGTACATGTATTCAATCCTAATAGCAACAGATTGTATGAAAATGAATACATAAAATGCGTGTAATTGTTGATTGATTGTATACTGTTTAACATCCCTCTCCAGAATATTTCACCGATATGGAGACGTCGTGTAATTGTTGAATACCAGTACATTTAGACAAACTTCATATTTATTATTATTAGGGTGGGATTTGTCCTAATTTATAACCTTGAATTTTCGTAAAAGTGTCCCCCTATTTCAAATTAATAAAAAAAAAATTAATTTTGAAAATATTATCTGTTAAAAAAAATTGTTGTCTACGAAAGCCTACAAGGGTCAAATTAGAAAATGAAGAAAAAAAAAATAAGTCGTAATAACGACTTTTTATCTCGTTATTACGACTTTTTATCTCGTTATTACGACTTTTTATCTCGTAATAACGACTTTCTTAAGTCGTAATAACGACTTTTTATCTCGTTATTACGACTTTTTATCTCGTTATTACGACTTTTTATCTCGTAATAACGACTTTATTAAGTCGTAATAACGACTTTTTATCTCGTTATTACGACTTTTTATCTCGTAATAACGACTCACTTAAGTCGTAATAACGACTTTTTATCTCGTAATAACGACTTTTTATCTCGTTATAACGACTTTATTAAGTCGTAATAACGACTTTTTATTTCGTTATTACGACTTTTTATCTCGTAATAACGACTTTTTTTCTCGTAATAACGACTTTTTATCTCGTAATAACGACTTTCTTAAGTCGTAATAACGACTTTTTATCTCGTTATTACGACTTTTTTTAGTAAGATTATTTTCAATAGTTTGCTATTTTTGACCTTTCCGTATTACGGAAACTCATGAACACCTCGTGATGTTGATTTATACATCAAACTGACAAAAGAAAATGAGTATCATCTGCTTATCAGGCACGTTGCAGGGTGGAGGTGGAGGCTTCCCCAATATTTTCTCAAACATAACTTTCCTGCTGATGAAAAAGTTCATTGCCGCCCCCAACATTTTTTGTTGCAATATAGCCAAATAAGGGTGATGTGGTAGTTTAATTTAAATCTGGTACGGAAAGAAGTTGCCAATATATGGTAATTTGTTTATATATAGCATAGACTTTCACGTTGATATTTTGAAAGTTTTTGTCTGTGAACGAGGAATGCAAAAGTACATTTGAACAGCAATTTTAACCCCTTTTTTGCAAATAAATACATAATGTAGCCTACTTAGGCATTGATAATTGGGGCTTAATGAGTAGCCCCCAAACATTTTTTGTTGGTTTAGCCCCCCCCCCCCTTTCAGTTTGCTTTCGACACTCGCTTATGTATCATATATAATATTTTGGAATGATTTCTGCGATGTACAGCATTAATGTCTTCAATTTAGCGGCATAATGATTTAGATTATAAGTGTGTAAACAAAACAAGTCCAAATATAGTCAATAATTACAGATAATAATAAATATAAATAAATAAATTGTCAAACTCTGGTGCAACTGTTTTGACAATTTTATAACTAAACAATCATCGCGTTTTCAGCTGCACGACACCGTTATACCGGGCACGTTTCCGTTTTATCTCCAAGAAGGATCGAGTTAAAAAAAATGTTTCAAATGGAAAAAAAAATAAATAAAAAGTCGTTATTACGACTTAAGAAATTCGTAATAACGAGATAAAAAGTCGTTATAACGACTTTAAAAAGTCGTTATTATGAGATAAAAAGTCGTAATAACGAGATAATAAGTCGTTATTACGACTTAAGAAAGTCGTTATTACGAGATAAAAAGTCGTTATTACGACTTAAGAAAGTCGTATTTAGAGATAAAAAGTCGTAATAACGAGATAAAAAGTCGTTATTACGACTTAAGAAAGTCGTAATAACGAGATAAAAAGTCGTTATTACGAGATAAAAAGTCGTTATTACGACTAAGGAAAGTCGTTATTACGAGATAAAAAGTCGTTATTACGAGATAAAAAGTCGTTATTACAACTTAAGAAAGTCGTTATTACGACTTAAGAAAGTCGTAATAACGAGATAAAAAGTCGTTATTACGACTTAAGAAAGTCGTATTTAGAGATAAAAAGTCGTTATTACGACTTAAGAAAGTCGTAATAACGAGATGAAAAGTCGTAATAACGAGATAAAAAGTCGTTATTGCGAGTTAAAAAGTCGTTATTACGAGATAAAAAGTCGTTATTACGACTTAATTTTTTTTTCTTCAATTTCTAATTTGACCCTTGTAGGCTTTCGTAGTTGTCTTTTATTTTTATTGATTCAATGCATCTTTCCACCACAGTATTTGATTATTATCTTATCCAAATTTTATTAATATAAAAACGCTTTTCTCCTATGGCTTCAATGCAACATATTTTGATTAACTACCGCTTAGCTAATGAGATTTTAACAATTCTCGCAGAAAATCCTTTTTACTATATAAATCTTTATTTTGATTTTAGAGTATTATGTACTTGATGGACATTTAAAGATAGAGACTTGGTTCCATTTGGGATGGAATACCTAAAAAAGGAGCTTTTACTGAAATTCAGAAAAAAAAATAGTTTTCATGATATTGAACAATCAATCCTTGCAGAGGTAGTTTTCGTAGATAAATAAAAATATAACAGTCAAAATCTTTGACATGACTTTGTTTAAATAACATTTAGATAAAATGTTATTTTTAAAAGTAATTTCTATAATTGAAAAAAGCAAGTTTGAAAAATACTTATGAATAAAAGACTCATGCAGCACAAAGAAAATGTGCATTTTTTAGATTAAAAAACAAAAAACAAAAAAAAACCCTCCTATTTGATATTTATCACTGCATTTATTCAAACAATAGAAATTGTTTCTTACGAGGGCCGTTCAAAAATTACGCGGACTTGTTGCACAGAAAAAATATTTGACGACATAATCGGGCAAAATGTCACACATAACATAAAAGAATCTTTACTTGTATAGTCTTCAAAATTTCATATCAAAATGTTGTAAATTGGTATCAATTTTGGGTGATTTTTCTGGACATATTATTAAGTCACGGAGCAGCAAATCTTCGACGTCACTGGTATTATAAAATATCTGAGCTTGCATTTTCTCAACTTTTTTCAAGAGTTCCTGTACAGTTTGAGTTACCTTATCTACTTAACATCCATACACCATTTTTTGTCAAGCTTAAAATCTATGAAACAATAAGCTTAAAATCTATAAAACAGGTAAAACATATTTTTTTTGTTTTAAAACCAAAAACTGCAGCAGGTATTTATGAGATATGGTGAGTCATTGGTAACTTTCAATCACGTTTTTTTACAGTCCGAGTAAAGTTTTCGCCGAAAACCTTCTTCCCACCCTCCCGTATAGCCCTTTTACAAAGCTTAAACGGTCTAAAATTCCAATTTGCTATTTGTAGGCAAATGTAGTTTACTACATGTTTTATTATGCATATTTTGGATTTATGTTGACGATACTTCGAGCATTACACATAATTTAACGAAAAGGTGGTGCTCCGTCAATTCAGGAGACGTCATTTTCACAGTCATTTTCACATGAATCACTTCGGAGAAAAATTTCTATATTTCTGTAAATACTTCAAATATCATATCAGAAATTAAAATACATAATGATAAAACAATATAAAGATAAATTTGAGAAAATTGTCGAAAAATATCGCAAATAATAGAAAATTAATGAGTTCAATTTTGGATTCCGTAAGTTTCTGTTTCAAATTTTTTGTCGTGCGCTGTATCTCTCTATCAGCGATATCAACACAGCGATAATTTTGGGAGAATTTTCTAAAATACCAAAATTTTGCCCAAAATGTATTGGAATCTTTGAGATACATATTTCTGTGAATTTTCTTAACTATATGACGTCTGTAAGATTAAATAATAGCACAGTCCGCGTAATTTTTGAACGACCCTCGTATTGAGGAAAACTTTGCTGTAGAATCAGAGCCACAATCATTTTTGCTGTAAATAACCTGGTATTTATTAATAACAGAAGTATTTTTCGAGAACGAAAAACAAGTGTTGTAAAACTTTTTCATACATACATTGCATGTATATACAGTTATTACATTATTTATGTTTAGGATTTCAAACCTGAGTTGGTGTTCCTCTTCAGATAAATCTATATCATCTTTGACGGTAAAATCCTATAAGTAATCAATAAGGCGCGAACATAATTCATAAAACAGTGAATTTTATTTTCAAAGAATTTTGGATTTAAATTGCTATTCTGATATATTTTTTGCTGGTAAAACAGAGTTACCTTTTTGTTGAAAACATAAATCTTTTAAACAAATACTCAATTGCAGTACAAACATGTAGTTTATGCATTATGCACTTCATTAATATTTATATTTTCTCTATACATTTTTTTCAAATGAACCCTCCGACAAACAGCTGCAAAACATATTCTAGAGAACCAAAACATTTCATGATTCTTTTTTCAAGACAATTCATATCATTTATGTAGTATTTATGTTAACATTACAATTAGCTCTACAGTTAACATTTTTATTACATTATAAATTATCTTTTATTTAGTTGAAATAAAAACTTGGCACTTTAAGTCCTTACTGAATATTTGTTTCATATCTCTTTAATTGTACCTCAGCTGCAGGTAGATCTTTGTTTTGTAGCATATCTTTGTAACATCCTGATATCTCATTACCATTTTGCTCACGTCTGATATCTGAGTTATCTGCAATATCCACCGTTCTAGAAGGATTGCCTTGCTCATCTTCGCAATGTTTCTCTTTAGGTCTCTTTTCGTTATTTCCCGTATCATTGTCAGTCCATTGTTGTGTGGACAGATAATCTTGCCTCCCTTTGTTCTCCATAGTGGAATTGTCTGAGAAATAAAACTATATCCTATCTGTAAATCTTTATGTATATTTTCAACAAAGGTCGTTGTATTGCAACCAAAACACTTTTTGATTTCCTTGAATTTCTATTTGATTGTATAATTATCAACGAAAAAATATTTTGTAGATTTTGTAGGTTATATGAAAAATGTTAAAAATTGGCAAAATGGCGTAAATGTGCCACACGAATTTTTACAGAATAATAGAGTTATGTAATTATGAAATCATACATATATACTATCTATATTGCAATGTTGACATTATTGTGAAAAAGAGATATATGTGCTTCAACGGTACATGTACAATGGTTCTACTGAAAACTTGTCAACATGTTATTTACATTGAAAAGTAATATACCCCTTTAATCCTAAAATTTGCAGTTGATTTTCATACTTGATACATTGTTCATCAATTTACAAATTAAATTTTAAATATCTACGAACATATTGTCAAATCCACCAAACTTTACATTTATGATATTGGTGATATCGCCCTAAGACATCAAGGTGTCATGTAACGTTACGATTCATCTCAAAGCTTGGAAATCTGCAAGAAGATCTACACCTACCCTAGAATATTTCGAATACTCACACTTAGCAGACAAATGACCTATCCATCGCAACCGTCTGACTTTTTTGCACAAGTATGCCTGTCTAATGCTCTAAATACATTAAACTACAGTTTCTCGATAGAAAAAGTCTGCGTTGAAATCATTTCTCACTTTTATCGGTTTCCATTTTTTCTTAAAGGAGACCTGTGTCCGAGGAGTCTTTAAATGAAATTTTCAAAACTTTGTTATTTCTTTCCATGCTACTTGCCTTTAATTTTTCAGCATTAAATCAATACCCTTATATGCTGATTTTACACTGGATCACGTGTGTGAAGTGATAAAAATAGATTATTTACAGACATTAATTTTCTACCAAAAAGTGCTAAAAAAGAACCAATTTTTTAAAATCACAGTCAAACTATATTTTTTTTTTACTTGTATCTTTAAAAAATGAAAGCAAATTCATAGTAATTCATTATGCATGAAAATAAGAACCGAGCACAATCTGAGTATCACTCCATTTTTCCTGTTGTATTTTTAAAAATTCCGTCGTACATAATAGGTAATATGTTTAAAAAGTATTTGTGTGAAAATTTTGTATTTTTTATTTTTTTGAAGACAGTGGCTGATCATTTTATTTTTTTTATTTTATTGAAGAAAGTATATTTTATGATAAGATAAACAAGAAATATGAAGTTTTCTTTAACTTTCTACCCTTGTGTCATAAAAATTGACCTTTCCTCACTAAGACACAAGTAAGTAAGCAGTAACAAACATCTGAACATCAAACTATTTTCGCGGAAGAAATTATGTTTTGATTAGTAGCAACTATATCACTTATTACTCTTTTATTTTTGAGTGCTATTACTGTCACCGTATTACATTTGGCTGTATATTTTTTAGCGGGTTTATTGGAAAGAAACTTCCGCTAGGTCAAGTACGAAACTAAATGTCTTTCACATTTTAACATAATAGAGAATATCAAAAATTGCGCTAAATGAAATCTACACTAACGTGTTCAAAAATCAATTTCCGTCCGGATATCGTACACGCTAAATATAATACATTTACAGTATTCTATTTCTCTCCCCCTTTTCTCATTCAGCTACATGTACATGTATATACCAACACCTATTAGAACTTAGGAATGGCTTAACACCTAAATCTACCAATCAATAAACAAAAATAGCTACAAGTTCTTTTTCAAAATCTTTTTTTTTAATTTTATCGAGAAAATACAGTTAATGTTGAACATGAAATTGAGCACAGTTACCTTATTTAACGCGCTTTCTTTGCTGAATTTTATTTTATATTTTTGCACTTATATCTGTCTTTCATAGACTGAGATATTTTTTTCACAACTGAAATTGCAACCAACCGAAGACAATTCTTATGTTAACAAACTCTATAAATGAAATAAAATTGTTATAATGATGGATAAATTTTCTTTTCTTAAATTGTGTAGTACGTTATTTAACATTAATAATGTTAGACCTATATAACAGTTGCAAAAGTCCAAACGTATAAAAGAAACGTCGCTATTGCGACGTTAAATAATGCTGCTCTACAACAACATTAGGCCCCCTTAAGATGATGTCATTACATTCTTTTAAACTCGCCATTGTCGTATACAGTGTATATACTGAAGGTTAAATTATATTCTTTAAGAGGAATGAAGCTGAGTTTGATTTTAATAATCAAGCTTAGCAATTAAAATATATAAGAGATTGGTAGTCTGCTAAAAAAACAAAAAAAAAAAAAAAAAGAAACAAAAACAACAACAAAAAAACAAACAAACAAAAAAAAAAAAACAAATAAACATATAACTAACAGAAAAATGCATTTTTCCCATTTAAAAGAGAAAAACCGTTGAAATAAAAAATCACTCTTTTTGTAAATTAAACCCGTTAAAAACCCCAAGATACATATAGTAAGTTAATTATAAATGAAGTGTTAAATTTCTCATTCCTGTTTTTAATGATCCACATTAACAACAATTAAGTAAGAAGAATTTTGATATAAAAAATTATATGAACATGTAACAGTAAAACTTACGTTTTGAGAAGATAGACCAGTTTTGCATTTAATTCCTTGTTTTAATTTAGGATAACACATTAAACCAATTTTTTTTCCATTACTTTTTCTTTCGAAACAAATTTCTTACCTTGGGGTGAGCGATTGCAGGTGTGATGTGTCGAAAGTATTTTGCAATCTACCTTCTCGGAAACCTATTTATATATGTACAATGAATGACCAAATACACGTGTCACAACGCTTTTCAAACTTCGTTTCGATATCTAAAACTGTGTATATTGAAATACAAATTAATCGAAACCAGTGGCAAACAACTCTTTATACAAAAAAGGTTCCAAAGTGTGAAAGCCCTCCTGTACCTGTCAGAAATCAAGTAAATGACAAAGATGATTAAAATATAAATAAAGAATATATTTACTCACGTGATCCGGTCTTGTCTGTTTTCTGCCGTCGTTGTTGCTGTCGTCTTTAGCCTTCGTAAGTGTTGTTGTTAATTTTTCACATTTTCAGCTTCTTCACAAGAACTACTGGGCTGATTTCAACCAAACTTGGCACAAATTATCCTTTTGATGAAGGAAAATCAAATCAAATCAAAACCAAAGGGAATGAAGAACAAAATAGTAAAAAAATGACATCATTTAAAAATCTTCTCAAAAACTACTGGGCTAGGAAAGTAAAACTCTTTTGGTATCATCCTCATGTAGTGTGGATTCAGGTTTGTTCAAATCATAACCCCTGGGGGTAGGGTGAAACAACAATGACATTTCAAATTTTAATATAGAAATACGAGTATAAAAGAATAATGTTTTATAATCTTTTCCGCAATACCCACAATATCAAGAAAGATGAAACTCATGTGGAATCATTCTTAGGTGGTGTAGATTCATGTTTGTTCAAATCATGACCGCTATTTGTAGGTCTAGCTAGGATGGGACCACAATAGACGTTCAAATTTTTGCATTCGTTTAAGCAAAAACATTAAAAATAATCTTCTGAAGAACTTCAAAGGTATGATGTGTCTTAAATTCAAGATTGTTTAAATCATGTTCACCGGTGGTAGTGTGCGGTTACAATTAGGAGATATAGGGTTTACATAGATATACAGAATTTTTTTTCTCCAAATAATCGTTCTCACGAAAAGCAATACCATGATTAGTGATAGTGTCCATGGATGCATCCTCAGGTAGTGTAGATTCAAATTTGTTTAAATTACAAATCCCAGGGTAATGGTGGGGTCATGATGGTGGATCAAAGTGTAACATAAGAAAACAAAAGAAAAAAAATCTTATTTTCAAGAACAGAAAACCTATGTTTGATCATTTTGACTTATAGTTCTCATGTTGTGAATATTATTCACTAGTTAAAAAGATCTTATTGGTGGAGTCAGTCAGTCTCGTGACCGTTGTTTTTGCCCTGCACCAAAACGTCGTGTTTCACGATTTTGATGTTTCAATGCAACGACTGATATGGAAATGAATGAGTCAGATTGCCTTGTTTATCGTTTGTTGATTGTGTCGATTCAAACGTGTAAATATAATTACTTAAAAAAGTGTTCTCATGGGTAGGTTTTGAATGTTTCTGGTGTGTAAATCACAAGGATTTGGCACAATTTTTTTTTATGAAGCACGGCTAGTGGTATAACATAGACCTGTTTCATATTGTACTTACAAAATTTTTACTTTATTCATTGAATCTTCCTTTATCTTTCCTATATTGTCTTTGATTCGGTATAATAAACAATTTATTTCAAGAATGATCTAGAAATCAATGATTTCTTCGCATATGATAAAATCATATTCCCCACGGTCGTTGCCCTCTGGAAATATAATTTTTCATGGGCGAGGAAATTTTGATGTCTACCTCATCATCATATAATAAATGTATATTATTTGTTCAAATCATGACCACTTTTGGTAAGGAGGGGCTACAGTGGGGTCAATTTTTTTTTTTACAAAGTAATACAAAAGAAAATCTTATTTTTAAAAAAATCTATCCCAGTTTAAAGGGACATGGACAGAGTCTCAGCTAAAATTTCAAAAAAAAAATTTCCATTTGTACAAATATTTAGATAAAGGTTTTCCTGATGATTATCAAAAATTTGAATGCCAGTTGTCCAGATACAAGACAGATTTTGAGCTCCAAACCTTTGTTATGTAAACAAGGCTAGTGTCATTCGACAATTTGACAGTTATTATTGATTTGCTGAATTTCATTTTGTTATTAATATGATATTTTCTACATGTAAACAAAAACAAGGCACGAGTGTTGTTTACATTACACATGTATAAATAACTTAAAGTTCTGTATCTTGTTTTTTAATCAACAAATGATGTTCAAATGTTTGCTTATCAATAGATGATGCACTACCTAGTAAATGTAAACATGAAGATTGGTTTTAAAATATCAGTTGAACCTATGTCAAGGCCCCTATAACTTTTATATACAGGACTGACTTCTGCTTTCTTCTGGTAGATGTGCTCAGGTGAGCGATTTCGCCCATGCGCTTCTTGTTAAAGTAAAAAATCACAAAGTCAAACACACTCTTTATGTCCGCTCAGGTTCAAAGTTAAGTGATACATGTAATTTTACCTCGGGGTTTAGACTTGATGCTTAGTGGACGATTTAGTAGATCTAACAAGGTGCTGATATCTCTATTTATTTGAAGGTACACAATACGTACTGAGAAAGGTGCAGAAGATGCCTTAATTAATTGATCAATTAGATGGTACCTAATCAAGATACAAATAGTGTAGATGATATTTAGATTTTATAATTGAAGTAATGTTATTATTTACAGTAGAAGGAGATTAAATGTGATAGAAGATGTTAATTCCTGTCTAGTTGCACCTTCTTGGAAAGGTGTAGGGATGCTGACTATGCTACAGAATGATACAGAAGGTGATGATGCTAATTCTTCTTAAATATTGATATATCATGTATGAATCCTATGGTGATTTCTATAAAACCAATAGAGATGGTGCAAAATATTCACCTAATGAGCTGGATTATTAAGCTAAAAAAAGCTGCTGGCACGATCATATTGATTACGTGACCGAAGTCAAGAACTCAGGTCTGAATCGGCCTCAAATAGTATTTATCACGTGACCTTTATTATGGTGTATTTACTTTTTTCAAATTTATTTCCCAGACTTTATGAAGGAGGAGAGCGTCTTCAAAAGAAATTGCTGAATTCTGCCTCGAATTTCACCCGATTCAGCTTAACGTTTTTATAAATGCCTCCATGTGCATGTTGGAAATTTAAAAAATAGATAAATTGTAAGATACTTTATATAAGTTTTATCTTTCCTGGCCCAGTGGTTCTTGAGAAGAAGATTTTCAAAGATGTTTCCAATGTATTCCTATGTAAATCTTTGATCGTCAGTTGCGGCCTTACCCTTCCACCGAGGGTCATGATTTGAACAAAATTGAATATACACTATCTGAGGAAGTTTCCATATAAGTTTCAATTTTACTTGCACAGTGGTTCTTGAGAAGAAGATTTTGATAAAGATTTTCCTATATATTCCTGTGTAAAAGTTTGATCGTCAATTATGACCCCGCCGTACCCCATTAAATTTACTAATACTGAAGTGACTTCTGCTTTCATTTCCTACCCAATGTGCTCAGGTGAGCGACGTGGCCCATGGGCCTCTTGTTGTTTTTGGATTTTTTTTTATCACTGATTTTTTTCTTTCAAATTAATGTATAAGGCTTAGCGCAGAAAGTGTTTGATCCCAGTTACATGTGTAGCTTCATTTTTTTAAATGCATGCATGCAATCTACGTGTACTGTAGTATTCAAGAATACCGAACTGCAATGGTCAACTGCAAAGGAAATAGAGGAACATTCTACTGATAGTCAACTGGAAAGAAAATACAGATGTATTCAACTAACGGGCAACTGAAATGAAAATAGATACGTGATCAGCTAATGGTCAACTGCAAAGAAAAAGGATCATTCAACTAATTATCAACTGTAATGAATATATAGGAGCATGCAACAGTCGTTCACTACATGAAAATGAGTTGAACACTCCTTCCTTTGCATGGCAAAAATTCAACTAATAGTCAAGTGACGGTCAGCTGATCGTAAACTTGCAGTCATCTGAATACGCATGAACTTTTTTTTCGTATGGGGGTTTCGCCGATATTTTGCGATTTGGTCAATATATTTTTTTTTCATGTTTAATGAACATACTACACGCTGTAGATTTTTATCATGTCAGTGAATTTATCTGTTTGATGTGTTTTAAAAAATACATTTTTGGAACTTTTGAAATTTTTGGCCCAATCATTATTTTTTCTTTAAAGATATGTTATACTTCTGAACAGCGCAAATTTTTTTTATAGGTATACAGAGTTAACCAATGTAAATAAAAATACTGATAAGCAACATAGCTATTGTAAATTTCTTTCTATTAAGTAAAATCATGGCTCAAAAATAAAATAAAAGACCTAAATTGAGGAGACAGAAACCTGGCAAGACGACAAACCGGTAAAACAAAATATTTTTGACTTTCTTTTACATCTCCAATAACAAGGGTTAATTTTACATGTTCTGTCTCCTAAAAACATACCTATGTTTAGAACCCTTTGTTTGGGCCAATTTTGTACGCTGAAAATGAGAGATCTTAGAATGTTCAGCAAATATAAACTTCTTTATCATTTTTAATATAAAAAAAAAAAAAAATGCCAATGATTTAACATTGCCATTACAAGTACACCGATAAATCGCAATAAACGTTAAAAAAATATCAAAATCGTGATTTATCTAAAATGTAAGATTGACTTACACATGTATTTTAATTCATGACCTTTAAATCATATTCTTGACGCTTGTTCACAATTGCGCAACGTTTTCATAAATTTTCCTGTCGTAAATTTTAAACGAAAAATAAATAAGAAGCTTGGGAAGACCATAGATAGATACATTATATCATTAAAATATATGATTTGGGGAGAAAAAGACGAATTCAATTCATGTCAGACAAAGGGAATATCACAAAAGGTACCATGTCCCTTTTTGGTCAACAATCCTTTGCAGTTCACATCGATGTTTATATAATCTAGCATTTCTATCTTTCGTTTAAACGTCAAAAAGATAATCCCCCATACAAGAACCTGTATCATATTAAAGGTTCAACCATTATTAAAAAATAAGCAAGATTCTTATCACTTGAATTCAGTACCTGCCAAAACACGATTCTAGTTTCATAATTTTACCTCAAATACGGTTACATTTTTGTTTAATAACGACAATATTCATTTCGGTGGACACAATTTTTTATGG